TTATACTGTATACTTTATGAATCAATAAAAAATTACAATTTTTAATTATAAACCTGTGTTTTCTATCAAAATTACTTCTTGCGTGAATTTTGGGACACCCTTTATTTGTATTCACATTTATTGCAGTCTTTAATACCAGCCATCCTCCAATCCTGTTTTGTAAAAGGTGAGTTTTATAATTAGAGTCCACATGGGTTTGTATCCTGACTCCGCCATTTACTAGTTCTGTGACCTTGAGCTAACCTCTTGTCACTAAGCTTCGGTTTCTGTGACTGACCTACTAATGGTACAGATGCCTCAGAGGAGGTGGTGAGAATGACCATAGACAGTGCAGGTAAAGAGCACAGCACAATCCAGTGGGAGTGGCTCAGTGGTTGAGCGATGACCCGTGAACCAGGAGGTCACCGTTTGATTCTCACCAGGGCACATGCCCAGGTTTTGGGCTCGACCTCCAGTAAGGGGCTTGCAGGAGGCAGCCTATAGATGATTCTCATCATTGATATCTCTATCTCTCTCTCCCTCTTCCTCCTTCTCTCTGAAATCAATAAAAACAAAACAAAACTTTGTGAACATTTTAGAAAGTGATTACATTCAATTAAAGATATTTGAAATTAACTAAAAATAATTATGAGTAGGATTAAATGTAATCTTTGTCATTTCACTGGAGACATTTTCCCCTGGGTCAATCTTAGAAACTCATTATATTTATTTCATTTCATACCTCCATAAATTTTGAAAAATATATTTCAAATAAAGAACTGAAACATATTAAGGACTCATTTTACTAATTAACTCATCTCCATTTAAAACGATTTTTGATATTAAAAAATAAAGTACTTGCAAAAACCCTCTAACAATATGTTGGGGAACTGAAATCCACAAAAAGATCATGGTTGCATATTTTGAATTCTTTCAATGCCTGAACTTATTCAACATTTTTTGAAGACTGTCTTATATCACATCTGGCACTAATTCCCTGGAGAAATGAATAACCTTCCCCCTGCCCTGAAGAAGCTCATTGTCTATTGGAGAGATGGACAAATATGGTTCATTGTAATAAAAAGTTTTGGGAGTGACGTTAAAGTATTCATGGAAGGCTGTGGAAGCTCATGGCAGAGATTCTAACCTCAAACAGGTTGTTTTTCTTTGACACAATGAAAGTTGCTCCCTCACTGACATTAAGTGAAAACAGAAAGGTAGATATGAATGTGGATTCCATGTTTCACCTGACAACTGTAGAGAAAAATATAAAGATAGATGAAAGTCAACCTTTAAGTTTGGAAATTTAGTAGCAATAAGTTTGTTGGATTTATACTTAGAAGAAGTTACATGTTTTGGTGACTATGATGGGGATAACACAGTAAAAATCTCATTATTGGATTGCAAAGGCTTTCACAGGGAAAGTGAAGCATAAAGGAAGGAGGATGGGCTTTGGCTTAAGTAGACTTAGGTTGAATTACTGCTCTGTCACTTACTACCCATGTGTCTTTAGACTAGCAATTTTCAACTGGTGTGTGCCATACAGTTGAATTCTTAAAAGATGCTATACCTGACTATTAGTCAGGGTCACTAACTTTTTCCCCCTTAGCTTGTCAAATAAAAAAATGGCAACCACCAACAAAACAATAGCAGTCCATTGTGAATGAGTCAAAAGTATACCTATTTTTTTTTGTTAGATAGGAAAAGCATATTTTTGGGGATGCTGCAGAATTTTAGTAATTAGTTTATGTGTGCCATGAAATGAAAAGGTTTGAAAATCACTGCTTTAGACAACTCACACTCCTTAAAACCCAATTTCTTAATATGCAAAGTAGAGCTAATACTAGCTTACACATAGAGCTATAAGCATGAAATATGATAATGTTCACATATATTTGTGATGGGGCATCATGAATGACTCAAATGTAGGCTACGGAGTCCTTGGCAAGGAGCGAAAGGATGTAGGCACGTGTGAAGCAGTAGCCTGATGTCAGAAACCTGGAGTGCTAGGTAGGAAACAAAGGCAGGCATGTGAGGGATGATATGACAATAAAGGTAATAATCACTATGGCTCCTTCCAAAGCTCAGAATCTTTATCACTGAATTAAGCCTTTGATTTCCTATGACCTCTTATTTACTCATAATCTTAACTCTGCTTGGGAAAAAAATCAGGCTTCAATTTACCTCTTGGCTGAGTAGCTTCTCCTTATCTCTATGAAGTCAGAATCTCTGGGATGCGTTCCCTGGTATATACCATACCTTCCCACTGAACAATGGCTCAACCCCCAGTGAGCAAAATATGAAGTGTAACTGTCCTACATGCACTGAGTTGGAAGAGATGCTCCGGGAAGGGTAAGTGAGATAGAACAGGAGGGCAGGGAGCTTCCAGAACATGATAAAACAGCCCATGGAAGCAGAGGAAACACAGTAACTTGAGAGCAGGTAGGTAGCTCACAAAGCGCCATTGCAAGAAAGTAGTAGGGGTCACTCAAGAAGAGATGGGATTCAAAAGAGAAAAAGGTGATGCGTACCCATGGGTGAGAAGTTTTATAGCACTTGATATTTGGAGAGCCAAGAAGGAGGCAATTACTATAGATCCAGGAAGAATAACAGCAAGAGATTAACATTACCTCTGCAAGTCAGGACTCATGGGGGGCTCCTATGTAGGGGGAAAGAGATACAGTAAAGGGTGAGATAGAGCCCCACGATCAGAAGACGAGGAGTGCGATGGGGAGAGGGAGATATTCTCACATACGAGACGAAAATGGATCCTACAACCAGGATTAAGTACCAGGTTTGGAGCTGAATTTATAGTCGATACTAAGGAAAGAGGAGGTGTCTAGATGGGAATCTTTATTTCTACATTGAAGAACTTTTAAAAGCCCTCTCTAAAAATAGGATCCCCCTCATTGTCAGAACAAAATAGAGGCTGGTGGGGCTTCAGTGAATCAGCTGAGAGGTTAAGAGGGATGAGGGAGGAAGAATCAGATCCTTCTATGTAGCTGGGTATTTTCCAAATTCAGAACATTTAGAAAGTATGGGTTGAGGAAGCTGAAATTTCTCAAACCCTGTGGGAGACTGAAGAGAACTAGAACCTTGTTTTTAAATGTGTAAAGTGTTGCTCTTGAAGAAAAGCAGCCAGTTATGACCTCCCCCGTTGCTACCACTTTAATACACCCTTCCTATAGTTGAAACACTATGGTCTCTTTATGCAGTCATTAGTAAAAGGGTAAAATTTCCATAGCACTTTAAAGTTTCAAAGCCCTTCTTGTGTTCATTATTTTATTTTCTTCAGACCTCTATGAAGTAAAAGCAACGATATAATCAGACATAGTTCCGGGTGTAGAAGTGGAAGTACAGATGAATGACTTTATTAAGGTCTTCAAAGCACTTTAAAAATCAAAGCCAGATGATTTAACTCTGATTCCTGGCCAATTCCCAGCCTTTCACTGAACACGGAGGTGAATGAGAGAAGCAGCTGCTAAATTATGCCTTTCAATAATCTTGCCCCGGGCCAATCTTGGATAATAAACCTCATCTTCCCTAACATCCTAGCTCCTGTGCACTGCTTGGACTTAGGACCACACTAAATTCCAGAATTTGTTTCCTCTGGCCGCCCTCTCCGTTTACCCCAAAGGAAAGCTGTGCATGTGAAGGGCAAAAGCTTTGGATTCCTGCTGACATGGATTCCAATCCCAGCTGTAAGACTCTACAACTCCCGCCACAGTGCTAACCAGCATCTGAACCTCCGTTTTCTAATTGGAAAAATGGAGTATGCAATACCTATTTTGGAGAGTCTTAAGCTGTTTAAATGAGATCACATATGTCAAGCACCTAGTATAGTGTCTGGCACATCGACATTCTATAACCATTGGCTTTTTTGCTGAGGACACTTTACCCTTTTCAAGCCACTATGTTACCTCGTTTGACAGAGCGGAGCAGGGTTGGCTCCATTTTGCAGATGAGGTATAAGACAGCTTAAGCACATTTCTCGGGATCACATATAAGGTAAGTAAAGATGGGATTAGACCCCAAGCCTCCTAAAGTTTGTTGAAGACATGCATTTTAGCACCCTGCGTCACATCCTCTTAGCGGGACTGGTTTCAGCTACAGCTACAGTGGATGGGTCCTGCCTGGAGAGAATGTCCTACTCCAGGCACCCACTGTCCCCTGACTATTTATCCTCTTCTCTGCCTCAAGGTTCTCTCTAAAGCTCCCAGGAGTTTCCAGGCAGGAGAATGTAGGGCCATTAACGACCCTAAAGGTGCCCCTCAACAAAGCGGGGAGGGCAGCCAGTGGATAAATGCCTGTCCTCTCTTCCTCTGGACAGATAACCCTGAAGCGCACTATTTGATTGCCAGTTGCCCACAATGGGAACCTTCTCAATAACACACACTTGACTTGGGCTTTTCTTCTTCTATGACACTCTCCTCCATCTGGCTTCCTGGGACTATCTCCCAGATAAACTTCCTACGCTTAAGTCCTTGTCTCAAACTACATCTTGGGAACTAAAGGTTGGGATGGGGGTGTATTGTTTTCACTCTTTCGCTTTGTTTTCATTTGTGTTTACAGGCATTTCTCTCTCTGTCTCTCTCCATAGGTTACCAAGATGCTGGCCGTGGTTGTCATTCTGTTTGCCCTTTTATGGATGCCCTACCGGACTCTTGTGGTCGTCAACTCATTTCTCTCCAGCCCTTTCCAAGAAAATTGGTTCTTACTCTTTTGCAGAATTTGCATTTATCTCAACAGTGCCATCAACCCAGTGATTTACAACCTCATGTCTCAGAAATTCCGAGCAGCCTTCAGGAAACTCTGCAACTGTAAGCAGAAGCCCATGGAGAAGCCCGCTAGCTACAGTGTGGCCCTAAATTACAGTGTCATTAAGGAGTCAGACCACTTCAGCACAGAGCATGATGAGATCACTGTCACTGACACGTATTTGTCTGCCACGAAAGTGACTTTTGATGACACCTGTTTGGCTTCTGAAATAACCTTGAGCCAAAGCTGACTCATGAGTTAGAAGGAAATGGACCATAAAGTGAATCTGTGCAGTTAGCAACCCAAGAGAGGAAAAGGCCAATACTCATATGGGAAGACAGAGCAGATAGTCTTTTCCAGTACTCTAACAGATCCTGGCCCAAGATACTTTAACCCACAGAATGACTCATATTTTCCTTCTAGTGTCACAAAGCTAATATCACAAAAAATGAAGCATACCTGTGAAAGAGCCAAAGGGTGGAAATTGAGAGTATAACCCTTTGCATTTAATTTGAGAAATTCACTTTATTTTTGGGGGGCTATGAAGTTTAGATAAAATCTAGACATCAATTTACATTATTTATAATAACTCTGCCAAATGGGATTTCTCCACTTCCCACCAAAGTATTTATATATGGGTGGGACAAAATTAGGTTTACAGTTGTTCATGTGGAAAAATAATACAAGAATTCATAAATAATAATACAAGAATAAACTCTGTGTTTTGCATACTCACAACTGTTAAGCCTACTTTGCCTCACTCTGTATTTGGTAATTTTGCAGCATGTGAATGCTTAAATGTTTGGTAATTTTGGTAATTTAATGCTTAAATGTTTGCATTTAGCATTTCAACAAAGTGCAGTGCTATATCATGAATATCTGATAAGAATTCATAAATAATAATACAAGAATTAACTCTGTGTTTTGCATACTCACAACTGTTAAGCCTACTTTGCCTCACTCTGTATTTGGTAATTTTGCAGCATGTGAATGCTTAAATGTTTGGTAATTTTGGTAATTTAATGCTTAAATGTTTGCATTTAGCATTTCAACAAAGTGCAGTGCTATATCATGAATATCTGAGACTACAGAAAAAATAGAAAAATATTTTATATTTATTGAGTGAAAATGAGATTTCAGACAAATATGTTCACTATACTAAAACAAATACAAAAGGAAATGTCATGATTCTTATAAAATTTTGAGATGATTTTTATATCTTACAAAGTAGACAGTCATCATTTCAAGTTTAATGTAACATAAACCACAAAATAGTCAAAATTACAAATTAGGAGGAAATGTAGATTTAATTCTTAGATAAATGCAGCTCTTATCAACTCTTTGAGCCTCCCAAGTGATGGCTTAGACATGAGAATTATTCAAATTAAGTAACTGTGAAAATACAAATGAACACACAATTAATATTGAAAAGTATTGCCAAGACAAGACCAAGTATTTAAAATAAGGTTTTACTTGTCTCTGAAACTTTAAGAAAGAAAATCCTCCTTGAGTAAATATTATTGTGTGTAAAGTACTGAGCCATGTCAGTGAATAAATCCTTCTAACTGATTCTAGCTTAAAAGATGGGAACCTTCTCAAAAGCTTACTTGCTATTCTATCAGTCAGTGTGACTCCTTTCTGATCACTACATATAGCCTACAGATTTTAACTTGTCTACACTTGTATTTCCTTGCTGCCTGCTTGTTATTTGTAGGTTCTTTATCTTTTTTCAACTGCTAGTGATATTTTGTTTACAGAGTCTAAATCAAAGCAATGCAAAATGCTGTTGGCTTTATTTTCAATAGAGCTAAAACCAATTTCAACTCATAATCTGTATCTCTTTATAGTTATGATTTAGACTTGCTAGTCTGTATCAGTGATTATTAGAGAGCTGTGAATGTGAATTTGCCCAAGACAGTGTCTGGTCTTACTTTACTCCCTTTCAAATGTCTCACCTACTGAGATTTGGCCAATCAGCATCTCCAAGTATATAAATTGCCCTTGGTGATGACAGTAATAGCTAATTTTTAATGAAAGGCCAGAAAGTACTGGGTACTTTTAAGTGTCCCATAGGCTAAAATGTTCCCTCTCCAGCCTGTTTCCTTTTTTGTGCATTTTTCTGGAACCTAATTGCTACTGATAATTATCCCACCCCACCTTCTTAATGAAGAAGACATTGTGTTTTGGAAACTTTTTAAAATGCTGCTTTGCCATCCAGAACCTCATTTCAGGATATGCTTTTGTAAAAATTGGCCTCATCCACTCCAGGAAGACATTCATATCCTGTCACTGTGTCAGTAAACAAATGCAAGCAAATCCATATATATAAAAAGCTAATATGCAAAGTGTCCCCACAGGAGTTCTACCAGGAGACCGAGAGTTCAATTGCTTGCTATGACATATGCTGACCACCAGGGGGTGGCATGGAATGAAGTAAGGCACTGGCTGGCAGCTGGCAGCCAGGGAAGGGAGGCCCTGGCCGGCAGCCAGAAGGCCCTGATTGCCGTCCAGACCTAGGGACCCCACCCGTGCATGAATTTTGTGCACCAGGCCTCTAGTATTTATATAAATACCCTAAACATCTATCTGCATGACACTAAGAAACCTATTTTAACTGACTTGCATCCTGAATTAAATGTTAATCTTGGAAGCACCAGAGGGACCCAACCCCAAACCACATGAGCACACATGCAGGTGCATAAAAACACAGACACACACATGTAAATAAACTGCTTAACAAAGGGATATATTGGAATATATTCAAATTTTTTCATTAGGGGAAGGAACTTATATTATTGACCTTCCAACTATGTCTCAGGCATGCTGATAGGCCCTTAACCAACATTATCTTCATCACAATCTCACTACAGCTGTAATGATGATAACACCAGGGGTCAGGGATCAATGCAGCTTCTCTAAATTGTGTAGATACCAGGGAGAGAAAATACCATTTTTTTCTTTTCTTTTTTTAAGGCCAGCATGATGATTAAAATTCTTTCAGCTTCATGCCCTGAAGAATAAAATATATATATGCTCTGCAGGGTGGTAATATCAGATGTCAAAAAAATTTACAATTTGTCTTTCATGTTATACATAGAACAGAGTACACCTTTCCCACCTTTGGAAATTTAATATATGTGCTCAGTTTTTCCATTTTAATTTTTTAAAGTTATTTGCACCCTGGCCGCTGTGTTCACTGGTTAGAGCATTGGCTCATGCACCGAAAGGTCTCTCTCAGGTTCAATTCCCAGTCAAGGGCACATATTGGATTGTGGGTTCACTCCCTACCACTGGTGGGGTTCATGTGGGAGGCAACCAGTCTATGTGTTTCTCCTCTCTCTCTCTCTCTCTCTCTCTCTCTCTCTCTCTATCTCTCCCTGAAAAAAACAACAGAAAAAATATCCTCAGGTGAGGATTAACCAAAAAAAAGGTTTTTTTGCTAATAATCTGTTAGTTTTAGACCATATGGGAAATTCAAAAGGACACAGTATTTCCACTGTAAAGCAAATGCCGTAACAAAATTAAGGGTTCTCATGCAATGTCCAATAGATATCTGATTTACACAGAAGAGATACAACTTTTTAAAGTATTCTTTCTCACACTGTGCTAAATCATAAAGTAGTTCCATAAATAATCAAAACTTAATATACCATCAAATGAAAATTAAAGAACTAGATTAAAATTTGCTGTTGGAGTGAAGTAATATTATTAAGGAAGCCTCTTAATAAAATTCCTTGACTTATTTATTACTCCCAATTTCATTAACTGCTGAGTGTCTTTGGTTAGATATTGTACCTGAGGTAATTAGGTAAAGGTCACAGATCATGAATAAAACAAGACTTCACCATCAGTATTGTGAGTGTATTTCTAGAGCTTCACTCAGCACAACTATTCTAAATGCTGGAAAGAAATAGGAAAAGTCCAAACTAGATTCAACCATAAACAGGCTAAATGTACAGAACAATACATCTTGACAATATTCAAAACAAATGGACAGTTTCAGTTAAACAATTAGTGAAGTCAAAGGAAAACTGTAGCCATGAAACTTAGTTGAATATAACAAAACCTTAAATGAAGACTCGTTTAATTTCCAGAAGAACTTGTTGGAATAGTAAGACAATTTTTCAGTAAAGCTGAGTCACAGAGTTCAAGATTGCTATTAAAGAACGAGAATTACATCATCCTAAACTATGTTAAATTTGAAGACATGATAGAAGAAAGAAAATATTAACTTTTTGGAGAAAAAAGAAATTTTAAATAGTTTACCTATGACTGTGAATTCTATGAATATTACATTGAACATTCAGGAACGAAGTAAGAATAGAGTAAGGAAACTAGATGTGAATAAGAGGACATCCAAAAACAACTGGTCAGTCCCAGGTGCAAAGGAAAGATTTTTCAAATGTTTGGAATCACTTGTTCCCCTTGGAAGAGGCAGAGGATGAAAACTCTAGCAATTCATTTTCTATTTATATTCAGTTGTCTAATGTAAATATCCATCAAAACCAAGATTTGGCTGAGCAAATACATTTTCAGAGTAATACACATGAAGATGTCTTAGAGACTTCTGTGTTAGATATTTTCCTCTCTTTCTCCTCCTCTCCCATCAAATCCTATTCCTTCATAAACATCACCTTTCCTCAGAGCAGGCAGGTTCATCTGACTTCAGCTAAGGCTAATCCTGAAAATGAACTATCTTAAGTAAAAGTGTAAATATTCTTTCAACCATATTTATTTATTAAAAAATATGTTGTTGTTCTGAGCACCTTTGTGTTTTCATAAAATCATATTTAAATTATGGAAAAACTGATGCCTCTAAAATCTCTATTTAACTTATGTCCCCGTTTTTATGGTGGGGGTCACGTGTAGAATGAAGCTAGCTGCTCAGTATGGGTGTTTCCTCACAAAACCAAAAAAGAGGTTTGGTATTTCTGAGGTTTCAGTGAGGAACCAATAAAAGAGCACTCAATGTGTGGAAAATCTCTGCAGAAACCAAAAGGCTTTTCCAAATCTTGAGGAGCTCACAGACCATGAAAAAAAAACACCAAAAAACAAAACAAAAAAAACAACAAGACCAGTATGATATCATTTCAAGATAACTGCTTGGCAATATTTAGCCTATGAATTGGAAATGTCATGTTTTAAAGAAACAATTGTTAAAAGTCCACTTAGAAATACCTTAGGATGACTTTAATATAAAGATCATTTTTAAGTATTGTAATTCTATTTTATGAACTAGTTACATTGATTCATTTAATGCTTAACTTCATTAATTACATGGGGCGGGAGGGAAGGTCAGGTGACACCCTGTAATGTTTTTGTTCATATGCTGGGTCTATAAGTATAATCTCAAATCACTCAGCAGAAAACCTCATTTATAAGAGTTGCACATTGGGGATCAGTTTTGTTGCCGAGATGGTTAGCACCAAATGGACCATGCTGATGGGAACTAGATCTATATGGTTCCAATTTTAATATTCAAATAATCGCTTGTAAGAGGAATGGCTGTGAGTGTTTGCATACAGTGTTGTGGGGCCTATTTACATTCTTGGACACCAAGCACATTCATCGTCAATCCAATCTGAGGTGACTGGTTTATGTTTTAGAAATTA